GAACTGGATCGGGTCACATTCCATGAATCAGTCCCCTGTCTCCCAAAAACCAATTATCACTTTACCACAATTGTCCTCTGAGTGAGAGTCCACAGCACCAACTGTCGGGCTTCACTCACCGATCTTCACCTCTCGCAGCAGCTTCTCACCTGCGTCGTCACTCTCCTCCGGTGTCAGCACAGCTACCCCGCTATGTCTTCCGGTGCGTCCACTCCTCTTACGTTGTTGGCCTCCTCTTCGTTGCTAACTCACATCTTCCATAGGCAAAGGCGCCATCGTCGACCTCACGTCCTCGCCCTGGTCTTCTCGACATTCTACCGCGCGTAGCGGTCCTGCCACTGTGTCGACTGTCGAGCTGGCTAATCCGTCGCCGGACCTTGCCGGCGTGCGGGCCTCGCTGAGTGCGCTGCAGCTGTCCATTGACCAGGTCGAGGCATTGCGCGAGCTTCGCTCGGATCATTTCGACAACTCTTGTGAGCTCGAGACCTGCCGCCTTCGGTATCGCGATTTGAAGCTCCGCTACAACGAAGCAGTGTCAGAGTTCCAAGATCGGACCTCCACCTTGGAGGCACAGCTGGCTGCCGCCTCTTCCTTTGGTGTGATCGTCCCGCCCGAAACAGCTCGTCGCATAGCGGATCTGGAGTCCCAGCTCGCGCGGTCTCAATCTGATTTACAAGTCGCGCGCGATCGCCAGTCTGCCCTCGCTTCGGAGCTTCGCGAATCAGCTACGTCCCACAAGGCTGCTCAGGCCGAGGTAGTTCGCCTCGAAGCCGCGATCAAGCACAAGACCCGTCGCCTCCTTACCTTGAGTGACAACTACGAGCGTCGCTTGAGGGTTGCCGACACCACGATCGCCACGCATTCCACCGAGCTTAATCGCGTGCAGGATCAGGTATCGACATTGGATCGGGATCTCCAGAAAGCTTCCCAGCGTGTCCAAGCGGCGATCTCTCAGCGCGATCAAGCCATGGCAGAGCGTACCGCTACCCGTGAGTACTATCTGTGTACCTTTGTCGGCGTCGTACTAACTCGTATCTTGTGTCACAGAGGATCGTGTCTCAGCTCGAGATACTATCGCCCGACTGGAAAAACGGATTAACCAAGTCAAGAAGTCTCAGAAGCTGCACCAGGATTTCGAACTCGCGCTTGCCACACTTCGGCAGGAGAGAGACAGTCTGGTGGTCCAACGAGCTGAATTGCTTGGCCAGCTTGGCGAGCGTTTCATGGAGGTTACCGATCTACGGGCCGAACGGGACCAAGCGCAGGAGAGATTGTCCAGCATTGCGTCTCTTCTCCCTTCGGCCCTGAGTCACAAATGAGCACGCTCCGAGTCTGATTCTCCAGCCCAGTCTACTCGCGTCCCCAAGGCCGCTCGATCGACGCCAGGTCCATTCCCGGCTGCCGCCTTGACTCAGGGCCCAGCGTCTAGGTCTTCGATCGAGGTATTGTCTGCCGTGGCCGCCGGCCAGAAGTCTGAGGGGCCGGTGCCATCTCCTTCATTCACTGGTCCCCATGATCATCTTCCTCGATCTGCTCGGTCGACCACCAAGGGTGGCAGCGGAGGCGCTTCGTCTTCCCCTGCAGCTTCCGAGGTGGGCGCGCATTCCGACGGTGGCGAAAGCTATTCCGGCAAATTCAGTTCTATTCGCGTCTTTGACTCGGACGCCGTGGGAAGCGACAGTGGTTCTCCGGAGTTGAGTCGCGGTAGGAACCAGTTTGGAATGCCATCCGGTCCTCTATCGGACGCGGAACTGGCGGATTTACCGCGTACCACAGTTCCCCGGTCGGAGTGGATCCCCGGTTATCGTGATTGTCGTAGCTTTCGCAGCCATGATATTGTTCCCTGGTCTGCCTAGGATATTCGCCAGACAAGCATCGTGGATATGGACGCGGATCTGCTGTTTCATCGCTTCGTCAAGCCAATGGAATGGTTAATATCTCTCCGCGACCCCTTGCCTCCGCTTGGAGACTAGCGAGACGATCTAGCGGACGAGAGCAACGTACGCGACTTGATCGAGTCTGCTTCGTGGGAGATCGTTGCTACCAAGATTGATCCTCTTACTTTTCGAGGTCGGGGCTGGTTCAGCGTAGATCGCGTGTCGAAATGATTGCATCATGTCGAT